CATACACATTCAACTGTGTAATCAGAAAATAGATTCAATCGCAACAGGCAAAGGCTCCGAAGCAATAGGTATACGTAGTGCTTGTAGTTTATTAGAAGTGTCGACAGGTTTCGCCCCCTATAGTGGGCTTCTTAATAAAGGACAAAATTATAGGATATTTCTACCCCTGAAGTACTAAAAAAGTGGGCACAAACGATTGTTTTACATATAACATATATGTATAGTGTCATCATTAACAATGGCAGAAATTGTGACGTCATAAACACATACATGCCAGAATTCTTGGAGACCATTATGCGAGTTTTACAATCATTTTAAGGGAATTGAGGCTCAAATAATGGTGGTTTTATTCGCGGTGTTTTTTCACCGCAAAAAACATATCCTATTCAACTAAATCAATAAAATAATGTACAAAATCATTAAGTAAGGAACTTTGTTTTGATTTTGGCAAAGTTTTTTGTTTAAATATTGAATATAATTATATATAGATATATATTACCTAAGTAGCACAAAGTTTACAAACAAAATATTATCACATATAAATAATATTGAGATGAACTGTAAAAACAAATTTTACTTAAAATTTTGCAATTTAGTTGGACAGGTCAATATTTACAGCAGCCACAGGACTACCAATGTTCAAGTTAGAAGACATTAACCTTGAACTGTGGAGTTTCAGTGTTCTCCCTAGGCTGTTTTAGCATAACGGTACCAATAAGCATGAATTTTGAGCAGCTACGCATCACCATTTGACCGTTACTCATTGAGAGGTACATCACATCACAAATAGGACTAGAAGTTCTCACAAATTGATAACCTCTATTCCCCTTTCTAATTAGACTCACCCTCAATATACTAGTTTTTTATTGTTCCCTAGCTAGGATCGACACCCTGATCAACGAACTCTGCCCTGTGGCTGTGAACTACGTATAAGGTGACAGTACCCAAATCGGATCACCAAACCATCGTTTTATTAAATCTGAGGAGCAATTATATTCATTTATGATTGTATCAAAGGAAGAATATCGATGGGTGTTCTTACAAACGACATTAGCATCCGGGGCTCACTTGAGATATTTATAAAACAATCTGAAGTCACCAATCAGCGTCTACAGTTTTTGCGAATGTCAGCTGGATCCAAATCAGATCAAGGCTTGAATTTTGCAGTATCTTACGCTTCAAATGAATATTTTTTGTCAGCATATTAAAATTTTATGATGACAGTAAGAATTTATATGACAAAGTATTTTTATAGTGTGAATTTATTCCTATAGTACAAAACAGAATGCATAGTCGTCGCACGTGCCATTTTTTAAAAGGGTAATCAAAACATCGACATTTGAGTTTGAATTACGTTTTCTTGTGATATTTGAACATAAAAACTAATCATCTGTAGACAAAAAAATGGTACATGGCTATCTATTCTAAGACTACATCATTGTTATAACTGATTTGTTGACGCATTTATTTATTTATATTTACATTCGCTCCCATTGAAGCTGTGTAAACCGTGACTGCGTATACATTACCGTATACGCAGTGAGATTCCTTGGAGACCATTGTTTCCTATTGATGACGTAATTTACATTGCGACGTCATAATGGTAACGTTGGAGATCCATCGCTGCTCACAGGCTGTTCATTTGTTTGGATTTACACACGTTACGGAGGCTTTGTACCATTATAAAAACAAATGTATTGGAGTTAGCTTTATTCTGAGTGTACCATCATAGTACGATTTTTTTTATATAAGAATTGATCTTCAGTTTGACTGCGTATACGGTAGTATGAACGCAGTTGGCAACGAACATATTCTTTATGGAGCGCATTAGCGCTCCATAAAATATGTTCATTGCCAACTGCGTTCATACTACCCTATACGCAGTCAAAATGAAGATCAATCCTTAAATAATAAGAAATACAAACACGAAAGTACAGACTGTAGCTTTGTATTTCAGAAAAAAAAAGTCAAACGTCTAGATCTGCCGACCTTCCTTTGTTGCATTGTTTTTGGCCAACAAATTGTAATACCTGAAGTAAGTAAGCTTTGTGAGAAGCCTTTAGCAACAAATTAATGTCTATAGAACTTTTAGAAAACTTGTAATAATTTTTGCTACAGTTGGAGAATAGCGTAAGTGAGCAAATTGCATGTTGTTTTGATAACCTGAATAATCATACGTAATCTGTGATGCTTTTGAAACATGGATGAGGAGCGTTGCGTCGCCCATATGATAGATGGGTTGCGACGCAGAAATGGTTGGCAGCGCCTCGTTACGATGGAAGGATTAAAAAATAAATACCATAGTGCATCAAATAAATCCTGGGGAGAACACTGAGTTTATAAGGATTAGAGTTGTCTTTGTTCATTTTCATTTGAACTTCTGAGCTCTGTATTAATTGTAATATAATCTCGAAACATGCATTTAACAATTGCAAGAAGACAGAAATAATCAGCTGTGAAAGAAAAGCAAACTGTGTTCTGCATTTGAACTTTTATATTCAATATATATATATTTCAGCATTCAGATCAAAGCCATTTTCCGTCTTCTTTGATATATGTCCCTGTCAGACCGCTGTTCTCTGATCTTATGTCAGTGTATTTTTAAAGTAACACGTAGCTGCGTAGTGGCTAAGACTAAGAATGGCAGGCAGTCTGCTAGTATTACAAAATTAAATGGCAACAATCAGAAATGATCAAATTAAATATATAATATGGATTTATTTCTATCGTTGAAATAGATTAACTTATTGTAAAAGACACTGAAATAAACTCACAATTTCACCGTCACAAGTAACATTTCCGGAGTTACCGGAAGAACTCTTGCATACAAATCGATCTCATGGCCATCACATGACTGCTAATCGAGAGCTCTCGTGATTTATCGCTGATACCATTGTTAAATCTTGTAAAACTTCAAGTAAAAATCGAGAAAATGGTTCACCTATCAATTATTAGAAAACCAGAGGTTTTGAGGACTTTCTGTAAATTCATGTCTAACGCCGCAAGACTTTAGCAGAGGTGAAAATCCGTGAGATTTTCATCTCGGCTAGACAGCATATATACATATCATGTGTCTCAAAAATCACATTTACACATCCATGAACTAGTTATTTCAAGATAGAGTTATCTACCCTTGCCTTGTTTCAACTGTGTAATTATACAGTGACATATGACGCAAGTACTTCATGGTTGTGTAATTTTCCAATTGGATGATGCAATAATATACTTTTAATTTCGTGACTTTGTTGAAATCTAATCTTAACTAACACTGACATATGTATATTATTTCCTGTCAGTAACATAATATTAAACTATTTATATCATAAGTGGCTTTGTTGCAGAGATACAAATTTCCCTAGTTCAAATTACTGTTGATGTTATTTCCATCGATATCAAACACATTGTTACATTTTGTTGTATAAATTGTTTCGACCAATTATCACATCATGGTTAAAATCTATAGAACCAATAATTGTATAACTCATAAATAGAAGACCTGAATAATAGGTGGGACAAAAAATGAAGTAAAAAAAATATAAAATTTAAAAAGTAAAAACTGCAAATTAACATTAATGAAGTCCCATGCATGGGCAAGTGATCACCTGATGTAATGATGACATGTGTCACTGTTAGCACTGAGTTATGCAGACAACCCAAATTAAAGTGGCGAAAAATATCTCTTTTGTCCAGAATAGTTTGCTGGACAAAAAAGTGAACCCCTGGAAATTAAAGGTTTTCATATAATCAGCTGTCTTTCCAGTACACGTATTGTTATATTATCATGCAGCCTGCTTCAGAAAAGACAATGCCTAATTAAGATACATTAGTGATGGATCCCCCGAATCAATCACTACCTGGAGGGTCATGGATGTGTAAATGTGAATTTTGAGACACATGATATATATGCTGTCTGCTAATAAATTGTAATAATGGTAGGATATTCAGAATCAATAGAATCTATTACTCATGTGTGATGTGGACTAAAATCTCAACCCTTGAGATAAGATTTTTGAGGTTCAGCACAATGACAAGAAGTCTTCGCTGAACCTCCAAAATTTATCTAAAGGGTTCAGAAATTTGTGAACCTCAAAAATGTTATCTGAAGAACCGAGATTTTTCTGTTACATCACCCAGAGTAGTATATTCAACTGATTTCCTCTCACATTTTTCTCCTTTGAAATATAATCCTTATACTAAACTTGTAATGGAAAACTAAATACAGTCACTGTACATGTGCAATCAAGTAGTGCATGATATGAATTGCCCTGCATAAATGTGAGGATGTGATCAAATTTCATATTTAGTCCAGTCATATAATGACAGCTTTTAGAAGTTCTACCCCTGATTTATATTTTCATAGTAGAAATTGAAAATTTTCACTATCCCCTGCATCAGGCTAGTGGAATGGTATACCCCTGGTCTTTTCTAGGTAGATCAAAATAGATAATTTGTCTTTAACTTTCCATCAAAAGAAAACACCCAAAAAGATGAAATGCACCTATGAGAGTCGAAAGTTGAAATAATTCTTCAAATTCTGCTCTAATTTTTTTTATGATCAGAATTTATCAAACACATCCTCATGAATATTCTTTTCAATGTCATGAACGATAACATTACAGCATCAAGCATGCACTGGTAACGTTACATCTCGATAACAGCCCCTGGCCCAGTACCCTACATTTTAATTTCGGTCTGTCGAATTAACATTGTGCATTAATGTATACATGTGTAATAGATCTATGTATTTTTATAATGTGTTATCTCTGTGTAGACTACACATGACCTATAAAATATCACAAGTGACAAGAGGGGCATATAAATATGCAATACACATGATTGTATGGATTGGGTTGATCTATTTTTAGACAGTTTTCTTCATTCCGAGATGGCCGACATCATTCCCATCGGTAAAATCTTCTGCATTGTCTGTTTTAACGTTATTCGTACATTTTGACAAAATGGATAAAAATAGGAATTATTTTCGCAAATCTTCAACCTACCTCCTGTTGGTAACTCAATGTCGTTGTTGTTGTTGACGGGTTCTGTTTCCTCTTTGGAATTGTATATGACCACAGCTGACGCATTGTATGTTTTCGCTGCAATGTCGATCTTTTTATTAAAAGAACAATTTCCCCTCTGAATTAAAGCAATCCAATTTTTTGAGGGTATATGGTTAATCAGATCATTACATCCATCTGTGTTATTTTCAATCGTCATCACTCTTACGACTTCTCCAGATTCCGGAGCAATTTTGCTGTTGATACTGAAGTGGCCAAGTTCTTTGGCTTTTTGGAATAAAACATGAGTCATGCCATTATCTATATACGTGATATTAACATTAGCTGCTGTCCTCTTCTTATTTACTGTCGAACGATTGGAATCCCTGGCACATCGTCCTGGCGGAGCAATCAAAACAACAAATAAAAGTACATGATAAACTAATCTCCATGACCTCCATTTTGGAAACGTACAAGTAACCAAAAACCTTGAAGAATTTGTTCGTTTCTCTTCACAGTTACCGTTCAATTCGACTCCATTTCCGCTTAACCTGTTAGTAGTCATATTCGTTGATTAAAAATCTAACTTCTTCACCCCTGAATTTGTCTCTATATTGTCGTTGACGCAGAAACATCGACACTCATCTTGCCCGTATGGGTCTGGTGCATTACATTAACATTGTTTTCATTCATGACGTCACGTGACATGTGATTTGTGTTGTTCTGCAGCGCCATCTATAAACAAGTGCGCTTTTATGAATGACGTTCACCTTATCGGGACAACGACCGACACCCGCTTAGAACTTAAAATACCGTGCATTTTGAGTTCCACTGCTTTCACTAATTGATATTAGCATAAATATGTTTGTAGTTAAACGGGCTACACGCAACACATGACTGAATATGATACGAAGGATTCGAGTACGCTGTTGATAGACACAGGTCAGCCAAAGCGGGACGTCGGCCTACTGACCCCATTCCTCTAAAGATACAGAATGTTTTGTTTCGTTCGAAATGGTATTGGAATTTACATATACACGCCCCTATAGATATTGAAACGAGAATATTTTTTTTTGTTCCAATACACCTGTAGCATAGATTTTTTTATGATGGTGCCAAAAAAGGCCAAGTGGTCGGTACTATCTAGACTCGATGCTGTACTGTAGCATATTACCAAACACGTCATAAAAATTTGAAAACAATATTTGGAATTTAGAACGATAGCACTTGTTTTATGATTATTAATATTCTTTCTAGAGAATATTCTTTGAAGATTATTTCTGAAGATCATTTTTGAAGAAGATAATCATGTATATAGCAAAATATCGGGTAATCGGAGTGCATATTTTGAATAAATTTAGGGCTAATGATATGACGATATACAAATAACCGTCTGTTCTCAACCGGCAAAAGGCCGGGGCATGGTTCAAAAGCCGTCAAACAAAATTTCAACAAAAACTGTATTTTTTCTATCTAATTTTGTGATATGCGATAATTGGGTCATGTTATCTAGCTGTTTTCTATTTTATATCTTTTGTGATGTAATATTGCTTCATATGCTTGTGTCTTGAACAAAAGTTAGCCTAGAACTGAATTTTTAGGCTGACGTTAAAGCTTATCAGTTCAGGCGGCCGGGAGTCGAAAACTATTGAAGAAAATACCTATCACTTCTTCCTTACGCCAATTATACGCATTAATNCCCCCCCCCCCCCCCCCCAAACTCCAACCCTCCACTTTCTCTATAGAAATTGTACGTTCAACTTAAGAACAGCTTAGTGTAGTATTGAAAAGTGGACAGTGTAATCAGTGCTGTCTGTGACAGAGGAGATCACTGACCCGATCTCATCAAATGTCGTTAAAAAGTATATGTGACCCCAACCCCCCCCCATCCCCCC